AATTCTGAACTCCAACAATGATGGAATTCAATCAAACATGGCATACAGGACTTCCATGACCAACAGAACACACTGGAAGGGTTTGGTGGGCATTGACCTTGAGTTTGGGAGTTGTAGTTCACCTACATCCAGAGAGCACTGTAGACTCAAACAATGATGGATCTGAACCAAACTTGGCACAAGAACACAGATGGCGTTTGGGGGAAATAGACCTTGAAATTTGGGAGTTGTAGTCACTGGGATTCACCTACAATCAAAGAGCATTCTGAACCCCTCGAACGACAGAATCGGGACAAACTTCCCACACAGAACCCCCATGACCAACAGAAAATACTTAAGGCCATCTAATCCAACTCTCTTCATCAGGGCAAGAAAACGTAATCAAAGCCCTCCTGACAAAGAGCCATCCTGCCATAGATATAGATAGATATGATTCACGCACACACACAGATATAATATCATAGATTTGAAAGGGACCCCTGAAGAAGGACAATTATATGTTGCATGTTCCAGGCAAACCAGACACTCTCCACATCAACACTGACAAAGAAACAGCAAGAAACAAACACTTTCTCATTACTTTATTTTCCATATCAAAAGACTGGGCCACAGCAACGCGTGGCAGGGGACAGCTAGTAATAGATATTTGGGGAATGAAGGTAAATTTCATTGCCTAGAGAATGGTATTTTTATTTGGGATGCAATGTTTTCATTTTGACCTCTTTAGCTACACTTCTGATGAAGAAATATTATATTCCAACCATGAAAAAAAAAACCCTCACAAACTATTAGCTGGTTGCAGATAGGTTTTGGCAGCCCTTTCTTTACAGACTTGATTCCATTAACAAAATCTTGGAGCAGAATTACTTGCAGTCGGATATAAGATGTCATTTGGCATTGAATGTCCTTGCAAAGCAGAGGAACTAATTAATTTGCTAGGCATATTGCTCCATCCTCGCTGGACGGTGCAGCAGTTTCAAACTCATTTCATCTGCACTTCCAATATTGCCAATGTGGATAATACTATGGATTTCCCATTAGCTTGGTGAAAAAATATTGCCGGAACTCTTGATGTCACAGTGGCCTTCACCTTCGTGGAGAGCGTATCTACAGTGTGGAATTAAAGCAGTGTGACACCACTTTGTCTGCCATGGTTCAATGTTATGGAATCCTGGGAGTTGTAGTTTGAAGTTGTAGTATGTGAGTACAATGGAGGATCTCAGCCCGAGTGATAGTTCTGTGGTGAACACCACACAACTTGGAAGAAGGAGAGGAAAGGATTTGAGTTGGAGCTAAATGGATATTAATTTCCTAATCAATTCTAATTATAGTGAGATGCTCGGCAGCCAATTATTTGCCATGGCATTATGAAAATGTATTCTCAAGTGCTTCCATCTAGCAAGGACATAATTATAAATTATGCTTATCGCCGTAACAACAATTATCACGAGACATAAAAGTAACCTCAGAATCACCATCCACAGTGCTGCCAGAAACAGAAGGCAAGCGGGTGGCAAAGAGTTGCGCATTGCACCACCACAGGGCACTTTTCAGAGTCCAGCGTGGAGTGCAGGCTCACTCTTTGTGAGATTTGAAAAACAAAATAGGGTAAGAATGGGTAGAATTGGAAAAGGTAGACTTCCCTAGATCTAGGGAAGTAATGCTACCCCTCTATTCTGCCTTGGTTAGACCACACCTGGAATATTGTGTCCAATTCTGGGCACCACAATTCAAGAGAGATATTGACATACTGGAATGTGTCCAGAGGAGGGCGACTAAAATGATCAAGGGTCTAGAGAACAAGCCCTATGAGGAGCGGCTTAAGGAGCTGGGCATGTTTAGCCTGAAGAAGAGAAGGCTGAGAGGAGATATGATAGCCATGTATAAATATGTGAGAGGAAGCCACAGGGAGGAGGGAGCAAGCTTGTTTTCTGCTTCCTTGGAGACTAGGACGTGGAACAATGGCTTCAATCTACAAGAAAGGAGATTCCATCTGAACACGAGGAAGAACTCCCTGACTGTAAGAGCCTGTTTAGTTTAGTAAAAAGGAGACATAATAATAATAGAATCTTAGAGTTGGAAGATATTGCAAAGGCCATCTAGTCCAAACCTCTGCCATGCAGGAATATGCAACTAAAGGACACCTGAAAGTTGGTCTTCCAACTTCTGTTTAAAGACCTCCAAAGACAGAAAGTTCACCACCCTCTAAGTCAATATATTTCAATGTAATACAAAAATTCTTTCTATTGTTTAGGTAGAATCTCTTCTGCTGTAATTTAAACCATTTATTCCATATTCTGGAGCAGCAGGAAAAGGCCTCTTCCATTTTCTGTACTATATCACTTCCGATAGCTCAAGATGGCTATAATGTTGCTTCTCAACAGGTGTATTAAATTATAATACTGCGAGGAAAGTATTCTTAAAACAATATGATGCTGCAGGTGGAGTCCCCCTTATCTGAAATGCTTATTTTGAAATATCTGTATCTCCATATACATAGTGAATGAGAAATAAGAGGGAAAGGGGGCTAGTCACATATCCAGCACATGCTGTTTTTCCATAAAGACTGTTGACATACGTATTGCTGTTTTAGCAAAGTTTCTGGGAAGAGAGAGGGAAAACTCATCTCATCTTCTGTGTCTTTTCATTCTCTCTGGGCTGCATACAGGAGAAGGCCAATGGGATCACCCCATGTTCATCCTTGCAGTCATTTCTTGGCTGCCTGCCACACTATCTGTCAGACACTTCTACCTTCAAAGACCAGCAGAGTGATGCTAAAGCCTTTAGTACAACAGAGAGGCAAACATTAGCAGGATAACACAACGTAGAAGCCGAATGTCCATTCCAGGGCCATAAGCCAAATATCAGAGAGTCCAGAGTATGAGGTTGAAATCAGAATCTGTAAGCCAAGGTCCAAGGATAAGTCCTGGGTTCTAGAAATACAAGATTGCAAGATTCCAAGATCATAGCTTGTAGAACTGATGTTGCAGCCAGTAAAGAGGTACCACCCTTGAGATCCTTAAATCACACAAGTGTTATCTGTTGTTGTCTTGCTTCTTGGCTAGTCTTGAGGACCTACACAGCTGAGACCTCTTCCTTGCAGGTCCACAAAAGCTAGAATGGTTAAATCTTCCTCAGCCTGCTCAGAGGAACTTGCTTCAATTTGATATGCAGGCTGAGAATTAGTAGCTCCTTCCATGGGTGTCACTTCAAAGCTTGGCTGAAGGATCTGCTGGGTACTGCTGGGCTCCAGCTCAACCACTGAGCCTTCCACCAGCATCTCCTCATCCACAATGCCACCATTGGTGAGTATGGAAGTATACAGAATATCTGCTTTTTATGGGGCTTCTGTAGGTGGGATCCTTTCACCTTCCCCTCCTCTCTTTACCCCATTATGGCTCCTTGAGGGGAAACTCAGGGGGAACTGGATGTGTGATTAGCCCCCTTTCCCCTAAGGCAGTGGTTCTCAACCTTCCTAATGCCGCGACTCCTTAATACAGTTCCTCATGTTGTGGTGACCCCCAAACCATAACATTATTTTCGTTATTGCTTCACAACTGTAATTTTGCTACTGTTCCAATATGCAGGATGTATTTCCATTCACTGGACTAAATTTGGCACAAATACCCGATACACCCAAATTTGAATACTAGTGGGGTTGATTTTGTCAATTGGATTTGTAGTTGCTGGGATTTATAGTTCATCTACAACAAAGAGCATTCTGAACTCCACTAATGATGGAATTGAACCGAACTTCCCACACAGAACTTCCATGACCAACAGAAAATACTGGGTTTGGTGGGCATTGACCTTGAGTTTGGGAGTTGTAGTTCACCTACATCCAGAGAGCACTGTGGACTCAAACAAGGATGGTTCTGGACCAAACTTGGCACAAATACTCAATATGCCCAAATGTGTACACTAGTGGTGTTTGGGGAAAATAGACCTTGACATTTGGGAGTTGTAATTGGTCGGATTTATAGTTCACCTACAGTCAAAGAGCATTCTGAATCCCACCAATGATAGAATCGGCCCAAACTTCCCACACAGAATCCCCATGACCAACAGAAAATACAGTGTTTCTGATGGTCTTTGGTGACCCCTCTGACACCCCCTCGCGACCCCCACAGTGGTCCCAACCCCCAGGTTGAGAACCACTGCCCTAAGGCTTGTGGGTGGCTAGAAGCCAGACGTTTTGGTTTGTTTAGCATTTCCATTTTTCAGATAAGGGAGATTCAACCTGTAGTAAGTGCTTAGACCTTTAACTGTGTTGTGAAATTGACATTCATGGATTTACCCATTGACTACACCACAGCATCCTCCTGCTGGATACAGTGACAATAAAGATGACATTTACACTAACCAATTAATGCAGTTTGAAGCTAGCTTCCAACTGCAGTGGTTAAACAATGATCAACCACAAAAGCACACAAATCCTTTAATGCACACCAGGACTCTGTGGGTTGCACAGTACTCATCTGGGCCTCAAAACATCTGCACAGTGAAACCACTTTCTTCAATATTGCATTAAATAGTCCGTGTAGATGAGGCTGCATTGTGCAATGAAGAATGTACAGTGGGTGCTGCTGCAATCCCAGTTAATCAAGTGGGACACTGAAAGGACCGGCAAACAGTGACACACATTTAGAGATGCACAACGGCATGGCTGGAATCCTGCTGGAGCAGACTCCTTGTGTGAACTATTGGATGGTGAGTCAACATGTATCACTTCAATACACTTGATGGTCCATACATTTGAGTCTTCTTCGAGAGGGATGAAGTGGGGTGGTGATAACAACAACAACAACAACAACAACAACAACAACAACAACAACAACGGGATTTAGGACTATATGAAATGGGTACACTTGTGGAACTCCATTTGAACAGCTATGACACAAATGCATCCATTACACAAAAGCCAGAAAAGTCTGGCTGCATGTGTGAGAGAATTTCCATTATGAAGCACTAGAATTCCAGACGTGGCTTCTTTTCCTTACCTAACACTTGGTCTGAATTTTCCAATAGTTCAAATTCATCTGTGAAACAAAGAAAAAAGAATAAAGTAAAATCACATGTGTGGAGGTCATTTTTTTATATAAGAAACACATATCTTTATAGATATTCATACTTTCATAGAATCATAGAATCAAAGAGTTGGAAGAGATCTCATGAGCCATCCAGTCCAACCCCCTGCCAAGAAGCAGGAATTTATTCATAACCCATTAGTTACTTTCCAGAGGGAAGTTCCAAAGTTGATCTACACTGTAGAATCAATGTAGTTTGATTAACTGCCATGGCTCAATGCTGTGAGTTGAAGTTTGGTATTCGCTTCCGACTCTTCGTGACCTCCTGGACCAGCCCATGCCAGAGCTCCCTGTTGGCCATCACCACCCCCAGCTCTTTCAAGGCCAAGCCAGTCACTTCAAGGATACCATCTATCCGCCTTGCCCTTGGTCAGCCCCTCTTCCTTTCTCCTTCCATATTCCCCAGCATCATTCTCTTCTCTAAGCTTTCCTGTCTTCTCATTATGTGGCCAGAGTACTTCATCTTTGCCTCTCATCTCCTTCCCTCCAGTGAGCAGTCAGACTTTATTTCCTGGAGGATAGACTGGTTGGATCTTCTTGTGGTCCAAGGCATTCCCAGAATTTTCCTCCAGCACCACAGTTCAAAAACATCTATCTTTCTTTGCTCAGCCTTCCTTATGGTCCAGCTCTTGCATCCATAGCTTACTACAGGGATTGCCATTACTTTAACTATGCGGATCTCTGTTGCCAGTGTGATGTCCCTACTCTTCACTATTTCATCAAGATTGGTCCTTGCTCTCCTCCCAAGAAAGAAACGTCCTCTGATTTCCTGGCTGCACTCTGTGTCTACAGTAATCTTCACAACTAGCAATACAATTCTTAACTGTGAGACTGTAAGATTATAGGATCTATATAGCAATATTAAATAACCACTCACAAGCCGTTTTTGCTTTGAAATTGATATATTGTTTTTATCTCTGCAGCAAAGAAAGACACTACTTTTGCCCAACACCACTTCCTTTTATACACCTTTCCTGCCCATCTCCCCATATTTCAGTTTCCTTATAAGAACTTGTTTCACAAATTCCAATACAAGGTTTCCAGTGCCATCTGCTGGCTTCAAAATGTCACAGAGAGAGAATTGATTCAGCCAGGATGATTCAGCCAGGATGTCACGGAGGGAATTTGTGATGTCTTCATGCCGTCGGAAAAGTGACTCCTGAAAGAGACAGAGCTGTTCAGCAGTGGAACTCTCTGCCCCAGAGGGACTGTGGTGGACTGGATGGCCCAGAAGGTCTCTTCCAATGCTAGGATTCTATGATTTAAAACCCCAGGTGGGAGGCATGTTGGAAATGACAGGCATTGTAAATTTAATATACCTCCCAACATAAATAGCTTCAGAGCCTGGTCTTACCTGGTGGCGCATAGGCCATACTGTTCATATCCCAGCCTGAAAACAGAATAAAAGACAATTAAACCAACATATCCAGCTGACTTGTTTCCCTTTATTACAGTCAAGCCTAACTATTTGTACTGGAACTGAATGCCTATCCTTCCTGTGTTTGTCGTGTCTCCTCTGTTCTCCTCTCTTCCCTTTAGTTACATTACACCACCATATAATGCTGTTTAACTACATTGCATGGCATTATTTGGGTCTATTCCAGGTATGGGCAAACTTCATCCCTCCAGGTCTTTTGGACTTCAACTCCCACAATTCCTGGCCTCAAGCTCCTTCCTTTCCCCCCACAACCGCTTAACCACCTGGAGGGCTGAAGTTTGCCCATGCCTGGTATATACTGATCAAATAACACAATTTCAAAAATTACAAAAAATCAATTTTTGTCTATTCGATTGATGATGAAGTTTGCCAATGACTGAAACTTACAAAGAAAGACCCAGACAAAATCCTTACTTATCACTAATTCCCTTTTGATAGAAATATTAAAGGAATGCCAAGTTGATATGTTGTCAGAGGCTTTCATGGCTGGAATCAATTGGTTGCTGTGAGTTTTCCAGGCTGTATAGCCATGTTCCAGAAGCATTCTGTCCTGACTTTTGCCCACATGCCTGCCATAGATGTGGGCGAAACATCAGGAGAGAATGCTTCTGGAACATAGCCATACAGCCCGGAAAACTCACAGCAACCAAATGCCGAATCTATTGAAACTACCTTTGGAGTTGTTTTACTGAGAGATTATGAAAATATTCATGTGTGATGTATCATTTTGCCACTAGGTGGACCTGCATGCTTTGTTTTCCAAATTTTCTGGCAATGTGTCATCTCTCTGGAGAAGCGACTCAATTAAATGCATCAGGACATCTCATGTTGCCCTAAAAAACATGACTAGGGCTTTTCACTTCCAAAGGGTTTTTGTCTTTGGGTGCATCTACATTGTAGAATGAATGCAGTTTGACACCAATTTAACTGCCATGGCTCAAAAAGCTGTGGGATTCTGAGATTTGTAGTTTAGTGAGACAACAACACTCTTTAGCAGAGAAGGCTAAAGACCTTGCAAAACTACAAACTCTCTTGATTCCACAGCACTGAGCCATGGCAGTGCAAAGTGGAACTTTAAGATCTTCCGGGGAGGCCCTCCTTTCGCTCCCACCACAGTCACAAGCACAGTTGGTGGGGACGAGAGAGAGAGGGCCTTCTCGGTGGTGGCCCTCCACCTCCGGAATGCCCTTCCTAGAGAAATAAGACAGGCCCCATCCCTCCCCTCCTTTTGTAAGAGCCTGAAGACCTTTGAGAATGACTAGTTCTAGCTCAGCCCCAAATACTGTTGAATATAGCATTGCACCTAATTTCCCAGCCCTCTACAAATTGCACTAGCCTTGGCCTGGTCTTTTAAATTGCCTTGAACAGGCAGGGTTATTTTAAATATATATATGAGCTATTTTTAATGCTTATATTGCCTTGTTAATTTCATGTTTATGTCTGTATGTATTGTTGTCAGAGCCGTAGCCAGAAAAACATTTCGGGAAGGGTTGAAAATTTGGGGGGGGGGTGTGTGAATTTTTTGGGGGGGGGGGAGTTTAAACCTGCCTCCTAGCTTACGCTGAAGCAAAGAGCACAGCAGGGGCAGAGCAGCCTTCAATAGCCTGCAGCTCCACCCCTGTCAACCACCTCCACCAAGTCTGGCCTCCTTAATGAGAACATTCAACACACACATACCTAACTTGGTTGCTTCACTACATCGGCTATTGCTGCAGGTAATGACAGTGTGAATAAATTGTCAATATTTGCTTGAGATAGTGCTTGCAGTTCTGGAGGGACTCTTAATTTTTTGCATCTCATAGACTTAGCATGGGGATTTAGTTAACCAGTTAAAATTCATGAGTAAACCAGGTTTGTTTTTACCTGAAAATTTGGGGGGGGGGGGTTGAACCCCTAACTCCCCCCCCCCCCCCCCCCCCCCCCCCCCCCACCGGCTATAGGCCTGATTGTTGATGTTACTTGGAAACTGCTCTGACTCCTCTCGGGGAGATAGAGTGGTATATATAAAAGATGATTGTTGTTGTTGTTGTTGTTTCAAGCTGCATACATTCTACGGTGTAGAGCAGGGGTCCTCAAACTAAGGCCTGGGGGCCAAATACGGCCCTCTAAGGTCATTTACCCTGCCCTTGCTCAAGGTCAACCTAAGTTTGAAACTATTTGAAAGCACACAACAACAACAATCCTATCTCATCAGCCAAAAGCAGATTCACACTTCCCATTGACAAAGTTTATATTTTTAAAAAATGTTCTTCATTTTAATCATTGCATTCAGTACTTGTGGGTTTTTTCAGGCTATATGGCCATGTTCTAGAGGCATTTCTCCTGACGCTTCGCCTGCATCTATGGCAAGCATCCTCAGAGGTGAGGTCTGCTGGAGCTGGGAAAAAGGGGTTTATATATCTGTGGAATGACCAGGGTGAGACAAAGGGCTTTTGTAAGTTGGACTAGGTGTGGATCTTTCAACTGCCCACCTTGATTAGCATACAATGGGCTGACTGTGCCTGGGGCAAAAAGAATCTGTGAACCCACAGTCAGCCATTGTATGCTAATCAAGGTGGTCAGTTGAAAGATTCACACCTAGCCCAACTTACAAAAGCCCTTTGTCTCCCCCTGGTCATTCCACAGATATATAAACCCATTGTTCTAATACCAACAGACCTCACTACCTCTGAGGATGCTTGCCATAGATGCAGGCGAAACGTCAGGAGAAATGCCTCTAGAACATGGCCCTATAGCCCGAAAAAAAACCCCACAAGAACCTAGTGATTCCAGCCATGAAAGCCTTCGACAATACAATTATTGCATTGTTTTTAAGTGTTTTTTTTTACACTACAAATAAGATATGTGCAGTGTGCATAGGAATGCATTCATGTTTTTTTCAAATTATAATCCGGCCCTCCAAGAGTTTGCAGGCCTGTGACCTGGCCCTCGGTTTAAAAAGTTTGAGGACCCCTGGTGTAGGGGAACCTTTTTATTGTGCTGGATTTTTTATCTTTCCAACCTCATCTTCTGGAAGGTGCAAAAACAACGAACTCAACCACAGTTTTGAATCTCTCAATCTCAAGACACAAAACCACAAACCCCACCTAACTTTTACAAGTGGCACTCCAGAGGGTTGGTTTTCAACTCATTCCAGTTAGCAAGTTCTCTCTTGTCCCTTGTTCTTTCTTTCTCCTCCCGTCTTCCTTCCTTCCTTCCGTCCCTCCTTCCTTTCCCACTTCCCCTTTTTGGGATTTGTTCTGCTCTCCCTTTTTTGAGTCCTTTTGTTCAGAGCTTTGACTGATGTTTCAGAACCTGCTTTCCTCTTGGGTAGCACTTGTGCTCATCATTTCCAAAAAGATCCTGGCCGTTGCTATAGCGACATCAGCCTGCTGTTGGGTATCCAAGAGGGACTGATAAGAAAGTCTAACACATGTCAAGAGATTTATATCTGGGGATCGGTCCATCTCCCCAATGGGCAGCCACCGAGAAAAGGATGACTCCCCAAGTCCCACTGTTTAGCTTTGGAGAGTCTAACACATGTCAAGAGATGTATATCTGGGGATCGGTCCCATCTCCCCAATGGGCAGCCACCAAGGAAAGGATGACTCCCCAAGTCCCACTGTTTAGCTGTGGAGATTTGTTCCTTTTAGAGAACAATCAACCCTGACGCCTCCCTTACTTCCAGAACAAAACTTGGGTCTGCTTTAGGCATCGAAACAAGAGAAAGATTATGGTATTCAGAGGAAGGGCTTTCCTTTTCCCAATAGGTTTTCTCTATTTACCATCTCTGTTCCTCCAGGAATCTTGGGTAAGAGCACTGTCTTGAAAAACGCATGGGTGTATTTATGCATTATCCTTTTTTTAGACAGCAGTTACTACATTGGTGCATCTACAATGTCTAATGAACATAGTTTGACACCATTTTAACTTTTCCAACTCAATGTTATAGAATCCTGGGAGTGCGGTAAGGCATTATTTGGCAGGAAAATGCAAATACCTTTGAAAACAACTCCCAAGAATCCATGGCATTGAGCCAAGGCAGGTCAAGTGGTGTCAAACTACATTAATTCCATAGTGTAGATCAGGCATGGGCGAACTTTAGCCCTCCGTGTGTTTTGGACTTTAACTCCCACAATTCCTAACAGCATACCGGCTGTTAGAAATTGTGGGAGTTGCAGTCCAAAACACTGGAGGGCCAAAGTTTGCCCATGCCTGATGTAGATGCACCTATGCTTCCATTTGACAACCACACAGAAGATTATTACCATAGTCGATGTTCACAAGGCTGAAGAGCGCTGGGCATTTCACAGAGATGACGTTGCCGACAAAAGCAGGCTGCCAACAGGTGATGTTGTCCCACATTCCTTCACATGCTGTGGATAAAAAATTAAGAAAGAAGATGTTGCCAGGTCTTCCTTTTCACTCTACATAAAGAGTGTCAGAGTTGGAATTATTGATCATTAGTTGAACATGAGCTGGCAGTGTGACACTGCATTCAAGACTGCAAATTCTATCTTAGCTTGCATTTGTTGCACTCTAGCAATGAAATGCCATTTCAACCAGCACCACATCAGAGTCCAATAATTATATCTAAACTGTTTATTAAAGAAAGTAGATAAAAAGGGGCAAGGGGCAAGTCCAAAAGGGTCAGTAGAATAGAAAGTACAAAACAGCAGTCATCCAAAAATGCCAAAGTCAAGAAAACTAAAATCCACAGTAGTTCTTCATACATAAATCCATAAACATGAAAACAAACTTTTCCAAGGTCCTCCAGGAACAAAGGCATGAACCAGAACATGGAACTTGACAATACTTGAATCAAAGACTTGAGAGCAGAGATAGGGGAGCCATACTATATGGCAACGTTGTCTCCTCTGAGAGGCTTGAAGCACACACCACTTGATTTAAATCCATCCAGGCACCCATGAAATCATGCCGAAGACACCTGGCCTTCAAGGTCTTATATTTGATTTTCTGAGAATATCTCATTTTTCTATTTTTGACTCCTTGTGTTCTTAGGCCTAATCTTGTTTCCAGAGAAAACTCCCCATTGGCACAAGGACTTTTCTCAAGGGAACTGGAACTTTCACATTTCCCTGTTGTCTGGGAATGAGCACAGGAAACCACAATATTGGTCTCATCTGCCTGCAACTCTCTCTGATCAGTCACAGTCTCCTCACTTTGAAACCTATCATCCCTCTCATTCTCTGACTCATTATCAGAAAAATCCTCTGCCACTTGCTGAGCTATAACAGCATTAATAGAAGTATCATTTTCAGGTCGACAGAAGAAACTGTCCCCTTATTCTGTGGTGGTTGGACTTCATCTGGAATACTCTGTTCCATTCTGGATGCCTCCTTTTAAGAAAGATATAGGCAAGTTGAAGTGAGCTAAGAGAAGGGCAATGAGGTTGGTATGGAGAACAAAACATATGTGGATTGACCTGTCAGAAGAGATCAAACATCTAAATCAGCTGTCAGAATTTAAGAAAGAATTGAAGGCCTCTTCCAGCAGGCCTACCCAATCAATATTTATTTATTTATTTACAGCTTTTATTTTCCGCTCTTCTTCTCACCCCGCAGGGGACTCAGGGCGGATTACAGTGTACACATATATGGCAAACATTCAATGCCAATTTTAACATAGACAGAGGCTATTTAACTTTTTCTGGCCGCCAGGGGAGCTGTCGCTTTCATCGTCCATCTGTGACACTGATGAAGTACTTCCGCATTCCCCGCATGCTTTTTGCTGGAGTGCTTGCTGGAGTCCTTTTTTATGACCTCATAAATTAGTTAATTTAGCCTCCCCACACTTTAAGGTGGAACCTAATTTTCCTACTTGACAGATGCAACTGTCTTTCGGGTTGCAAAGGTCGACAACAGGCTACACAATTGGTTGGAAACCCACTCCAACCTGGGCTGGCTTCGAACTCATGACCTTTTGGTCAGAGTGATCTTAATGCAGCTGACACTCAGCCAGCTGCACCACAATCCCAGTGCTTGTAAACAATGTAAACACGTCTTGTGTTTACAATATTTAAATCTATGCTCTGTGTATTTTAATACATGTGTTTTATAGAAATACATTTAATATGTGTTTTTATATAATGTTTTATGATAATGTGTTTTCATATTGTTGTATTTTGATCCTGAAGAGAGGTGGGTAAAATTAAATAATAGTTATTATTATTATTTGAAACACAACATGATTATTATTATTATTGAAGAATTTTGAGGCACGGGGCATACTCAGTTTTGTTATGAGAAGTTCAAGGATGATATGATCATATACTTTGAATACTTCACTAGCTGCAACGGAAAAGAGGATACAGGCTCTTTCTTTGCTGTGCCGATGAACAGAACTAGGTCTAACGTTACAGGAAGGTAGATTTCAATTGAATATTAGAAGAATAGTGGTTTTGCAACAGAGCCAATTGCTTAGAAAGACTGGATTTTCTCCTTGTCTTGAGGTTTTCAAAAAGAAGCTGGACAACTACCTGCTAGGGAGCCCATCTTCCAAAAGAAGCTATCCAAGGATCTCAACGCTATTCACCAAACAGCATCCAAATCTTGCAGAGTTCTCTTAATGTTTGGATTCAAAACTATGGTGTATTTGCCATCTCCTTGATGTGGGAACCACCAACCGTCATTGTTTGGCAGGCGAATCTTGGGAGTTAACGCTGTGTTTGAATAGATGGAGGAGTGAAAAGAGAAAGGCAGCGGCCTTTTGCACTGGAATCACATTCTCTGCGTCTGCCAGGAAGAGCACTTTCTCCTCTGAGCTGCTTATTCATAAAGCCAACTCATCCCTCACTGGTGTGAAAAGCTCTCCTTTCAAGTCCCTTCAAAAGAGAGTCTAAGATGGCCAGCATCAGGCTATTTACATAAGAAAATATTTCACACTCAGGGAAATGAGTTTCGGGCAAAGCTGGGATCTCTTATCTGAGACTGGGAAAACACGGCCTTTTCTATTCTCCCCAAGTTACTTACATTCTCCCTGGTTATTGGACAGTTATTCCGAGTTTATGCTTGGAGAGGCCATTTCTTTGTCGTCTCCCTTCCTCTAACAAAACCAATTCGGAAAGGAAATCACGTGGATGTTTGGGTCGTTTCTAGCACACTGTAGCCAGGGATTCATGGCAAAGAAACAGCAAAACTGGGGAAATCCATTATTTGGAGTGACATTCTCAGGAAAACAATTTGATCTCCCACCCTTCTGTTTCCTCAGTCCAAGGCTGCTACCCTACATGGCATATAGCAGAATAAAACTAACTACAGCTCGCCATGCAATACTTTTTGGATTTACTACTGATCTTTTGTAGACCCTCTTGTAGCCATTTCCTCACCTTTATAGAATTTGTAAATAGGAGATGTAGAGAAGTGTTTATTATAACTGTGTTTTAAACTGTGTTTATGCTTTACATTGTAGCCATGACCTAGCTGAGAGAGATAGGTTGCCATGGTGATAGGCCAGAGGAGGTGGGCGGAGCTTAAGTAGGAAAGGTTTGAAAACGACAGTTTAAAATCAGTCAGGCGGATGAGACCCTGAAGGACAGAGTCAAAGGGGACTCTGGGATAATAGTTCAGTCAGGGGAATGAAACCCTGAGGGGCAGAGTCAGTTGAGGCTCTGTGGTGTAGTGTAAATTCATCCAGTTCTTAGGATTTGTGAATATTATTCCAGCTAGGAAGCTGGAGGTGAAACCTCGTTAGATTGCTTGAGTAAAGAAAGAATCTAACAAGAAAGAGGTTTAGGGATCCCAGTGGTGAATGGCTGGAGATCGCTAGTTTGATCCTGTGTAGGACAAACAGTTGTAAATATTCACAATAAGGAACATTGAAATATTAAGGTACCTCACTGTAGAAGAAGTCAAAGAATTGTAACATCATAAATGTATCTCAACTAAGCCATATTTGTAACCATCAATCTTGTGCCAAGTTCAACAGTTTAATATTGCAACAGTTACGCTCTGACATCAATAAACTTGTTCTCTTTTGTGTTTTAAAACCTGCCTCTTCCATTGATTCAACGTTTTGCACAATCCACACTACCAAAGTGGCCTCACAACTCATATAAGGATTAAAAGAGATTATATTAACAGTATTCCTTTACATTATGGTGTCAGCTTGACCTAGAAGTCTCAAATTCTCATTGCATTTGTGTGGTGATCCTGTTTAGTTGGGATTTCACGCCATTATTTTGATTTTGGAGACTTCCTCACATATTTCGGTCATTACATTTGTGTGGTGATCCTATTTAGTTGGGATTTCACGCCATTATTTTATTTTTGGAGACTACTTCACATATTTTGGTGGCAGCAAGTGAACGGCTTCGAATTGTAGTAACGAGCGGTGGGGACGCGGCTTCGCAAATTTGGTGGCAGACGACGGGATTCGTGTAACAACTAATCGAGTGCCTTAAGTTTAATTTTGAAATAAGTTGTGAGGTAAAAGTTGCTGAAAATGGCTACCAGGCGGCAGAGAAAGCTAGCTGAGGAAAGAGAAGAGGAAAATTCGAGCTCTGAGACAGATGAGCCGATGCCTTTCTCAGAGATGGCTTTTAAGTACAAGTTAGAGATGAAACGATTGGAGATGGAGGAAAGACAAAAGGAGAGAGAATTGGAGGAAAGGCAAAGGGAAAGAGAGAGAGAGATAGAATTGAAGAGAATGGAGTTTGAGCTAGAGAAACAAAGATTGGCTTTGTCCCAAACAGCCAGTGGAACCCAGGAGGGAAGATCTGGAGGAAATATCCCAGATTTGATGAAGAAATTCCCAAAATTCAACAAAGACGATGATCCAGAGAAATTCCTAATATCTTTTGAGAGATGTTGTCGAGATTTTGATGTGGCTAAAGAAAGATGGATGACATACCTAAGGCCACAAATAAGTGGGAAACTTTTGCAGATTTATGGGCAGATGACTGAGGAATCTTATGGAGACTATGATCTGTTTAAGAAGCAGGTTCAACAGGAATTTAGATTGACTCCTGAATATTATAGATTTAAGTTCAGGACAATAAAAAAAGATAAAGCTCAAAGTTTTGCTCAGGTGGCCTCAAGACTATCTCAACTGTTTGATAGTTGGATAAGAACGTCTGAGGTGGGAGATTTTCAACAGCTGAGGGAACTTTTGAAGCTGGAGCAGTTTTTTCAAATATTGCCTTTTGATATTCGGTGGGTGATTCAAGATCGCAAGCCAGCCACTGTTGTAGAGGCAGCGGTTATGGCAGATCAAATTACAACCTTAAAAGAGGGATTTAAAAGAGAAGATCCACCAAGTGAAAGAAAAGCAAATAAGCCACCATTTTATTCACATCAAACGCGCTCACAGCCAGAAAAGGGTTCTGACTTAGAAAACACCATCTATAGGAGGCAGG